CTTCCCCTCCTGCGCTGTCCCTCCACCCTCCCAAACATGATGTCCCTCTCCAAGGACCTGTCCCTCCTGGCAACATGTCCAAAGTATGTCAGACGAAGCCCCAGAATGCAAGCTAATATCAAAGTGAGACAAAAAAAATCCCTAGTGGCTCTAATATGGCCATTTTATTCAAAAGAAAGTGGAAGGTATTAAAGAAATTACAGATTAAAATTAGGAGTGCCCACCTGTATAATTCTCTGTGTGTGCGCGCCTATGTTCTTCTTGTTGTTATATGCTATTGACCCATGGCACCGCTATGTACAACAGCTCTGAACCCTCTATCCTGTGCCAACCTCATTATCTCTGAAACACCTATCCACATTACCCCAGTTACTGAGTCAATCCATCTCATCGAGGGTCTTCCTCTCTTGTGCTGTCCCTCCACCCTTCCAAGCATGAGGCCACTCTCAAAGGACTGGTCCCTCCTTGCAACCTGCCCGAATCTGTTTGTTCTCTTAGCAGTACATGGTACATTCAATACTCTTCTACGACATAACTCAAAGGCATCAATTCTCCTTCCACCATCCTTAGTCATTGTCCAGCTTTCTGATACATAGTAAGTAATTGTGAAGACCATGTCCTGAATAACATGCACCTTAGTCTCCAGGCTGACATCGTTGCTCTTCAGTATTCTGGAGAGGTCTCTGACAGCAGATTTTCCTAATGCAATTCGTCTTTTAATTTCCTGGCTGATGGTACCAACAATGTTGATTGGTTGGGGTTTTTTGTTGTTGTTTGTGTTTTTTTTAAAGATTGCGTCTAACACACTTTGGACATGTTGTAAGGAGAGACAGCTCCTTGGAGAGAGACATCATGCTTGGTAGGGTAGAGGGGCAGTGCAGGAGGGGAAGAATTTCTATGAGGTGGACTGATTCAGTGACTGGGGTAATCAAGATGGGTGTGTCACAGGCAATGCGACTGGCACAGGATACAGCAGGGTTTAGGGCTGTTATACATAGGGTTGCTATGAGTCGCAAATGACTCAACGGCACATAACAACAACAACAACAATAACTGCAAAAACCTCTTTAAAATGCAAAAGAAGAAAGATGTTACTCGGAAGACTAAGGTGGACTTAACTCATGGCATGTTTTTTTTTTTAAATTGTTTATTATTATTAGTTTTAATAAAAATTTAGAGAGATTTTGGATTTCCATTCATTCAATGTTGCACTTTTCTCCCTGCCGACCCCTCCTCTTCAGTTCATTCTTCTCTTTGAAAAGTAAAAGAGGAGCTCTGGTAGCCTAGTGGCAAGAAGCTGCACTGCAATCCCAGAGGTATGTGGTTCTAATCCACCAGATGCTCTGCTGGAGAAGAAGGGACAATCTCTTGTACCAGTCAGATCTGATTTGACAGCATACACATGCAAAATAATAATTAAAAAAAAAGTAAAGTAAAAGAAAAATTCTTTCATTGTTATACAATCCCTACTCCCCCTCCCCAAGTCCATTCCACTATACAGCCTTCGTTCTGGACTCCTGTCATGAGTATAATACCTAATCATAGATCCCTTTTAAACAGTTCTCTCCCTCATCTCTTTGAATACAGTATACGTAATTAATCCCATCTTTCTCAGTCCCCTCCCAACCCCAATGGCAGTCCTGTTTTACAGCAGTGGCACTATGCAGTATTTGTCCTTTGGTGACTGAGATATTTCACTCAACATAATGTGCTCTAGAGTCATCCATTTTGAATAATACTTTATTCCATTGTGTGAATATACCACAGCTTCTCTATCCATTTCTTTGTTGATGGGCACTTAGGTTGTTTCCAACTCTTTGCTATTGTGAACAAAGCCACAATAAACATGGGTATGCATATATCTGTTTGGGTGGTAGTTTTGATTTCTTTAGGGTATATTCCCAGTAGTGCAATGGCTGAGTCAAATGGTATTTCTATTTCCAACTTTTTGAGAAAGTGTCATGCTGACTTCCAGAGTGGTTGCACCATTTTACACTCTCACCAATAATGAATAAGGCTTCTAGTTTCTCCGCAACCTTCCCAGCATTTGTTGTTTGCTTTTCTGTTAAATTTTGCTATTCTTACAGGTGTGAGATGGTATCTCATAGTCGTTTTGCAACAGTGTTGATTGTGGAGGCAAGCAAACTAAAGCTGTTAACAATTTCAATCTCTTCACCATCTATTATAATGCTACCAATTGGCCCAGTGGTGAGAATCTTTGTTTTCTTGATGTTGAGCTTCAATCCATATTTAAAACTGCAATCCTTGACCTTCTGCAGCAAATGCCTCAGATCCTCCTGTTTCTGCAAGGAAGGTTGTTTCATCTGCATAACACAGATTGTTGATGGGTCTTATTCCAATCCTGATGCCACATTTCTCCTAAGAGCCTAGTCTCCCGAATGATCTGTTCTGCACAAAGACTGAAAAGGTAATGAGATAGGATACATCCCTGCCATACACTTTTCCTGATTTTGAACCATGCAGTGTTTCCTTGCTCTGTTCTGACAACTGCCTCCTGGTTAAAGTTTTTCATGAATACAATCAAGAATTCTGGAATTCCAGTTCTTCTCAGAGTTAGACACAGTTTGTTGTGATCAAATGCCTTTGCACAGTCTATGAAACACAGCTAGACATTCCTCTGGTACTCTCTAAGTTTGTGTGGACAACAGTAATAGGCAATTTCTTTGAAATGGGAAAATGCATATATTTTCTAATTTCATGAAAAATAGGATGAAGGCTTATAAATTAAAACGATTTATTTTTAAACTAATGCAAAGATTAGTGTTTCTGAGGACTGGTTTTAGTTTCTTACCATAAGCTAAAATAAAAGGATTCCAGCAACATTTTGCCAACAGTTGACCAATTGTGGGGAATCTTTCCATAATTGCATTAGAATTCTGTAAAAGAAAACACATTTTAGTCAGTAAAAGTACAGTATGAAACTCAGAAATACTGATATTAATTACACTGCATGCTGAGGGAACTTGACTGATTTTTAGAATGTATTTTACACGGCTGTTGTTATGTGCCTTTGCGTTAGAACTGACTCACAGATAACCCTCCGATGGGTTTTCACAGGCTGTAAATCACATAGGACGATACTGCCCAGCTTTCTTCCATGGAATAGAAGTGGATTTGAATGGTAGGTACACCTTCGGGCTGGCAGTACAACTCCTTACTACTAGGCCATCACATCTCTATTTCAAACTTGAAAAAACACCCCAGAAAACATTAAAAAAGATACTTAATATGCTACCCTGAAATCAGACCATTGTAAATGGGTAAAATGAATTCTGCTGTAAAATTAATTTTACATTTTGGGATGCTAACCAAAAGGTCAATCATTCAAATTTACCAGCAACTCCTCAGGACAAAGTTGTGCAAGTCTCTTTCACAGCCTTGGAAACCTAGGGAGGCTCACAATGAGTTACGGCAGTAGGCTTATTTTTTTGGTATTGCTCTTTTTGCTATACTTAATGTACATTAAATCAAGAAAAGGCACTATATTTTAAAATAATAAAAATTGCACCTCCTTACTGGCCCAGAGCTGATGCTTCAGCAGGTTTCCAAGACTGTAAACCACATGGGATGAGAATGCTCATCTCTCTTTTGCAGAGAAGCTCCTCAATTCAAATACACCAGAAAGGTGCTGCCTTGGAGTTGGCAGCACAACTCCCCTTTAGGCTCCCCATCAAAACATAGTGTTCTTGTTTTTGAGTGGGAACTCACTCATGGCTGATCATCCAGATTCAAGTTTTCAGAGGCTGTAAATTGCATGGAAGAGAGACTACTCATCTTTCCCCTGTCAAACAACTGGTGGATGTGAACCTTGGCAGCGCAACTAACTTGTAGTCCACTAGGTCACAGGAATTCTTTTCAGAGTATAATAATAAAGAAATATCATTGGTGATTAACATGTTGTCACAAATGATGGTAATACATCATTCTAAGCACAGTCGTCAATTTAAAAGTGTGCGGCCAACGTGTTAAAAACTATCCATTCTAATCTCTTTATTCTGGAATGGTAAAAGCATCTCCTAAATTGTTTGCATTAGGGCTATTTCAATGAAAATTTTAAAAGACAAGAATTATAGAACTAGAAAAAGAAAACTACCAAAAGAATAAAGTTTTATCTTTGTTTATTAATAGTTTGACTGTTAAATGTCAAATAATATCAGACTCTAGTCTACAGTAACCTAAAGTCAAAGACAAAAATAAAAAATATATTCATATTTTTAAAAATATACATACTGTTGTAGAGTTATTTTCCTCCCTCTTTACTAAGAGAATATAATGATAACACCACAAAGAAACAATGTTACAGCAAGGAATTCCTCAAATTTGTCTCAAACAAGATCAAGATTTTCAGGAACTACATTCAGAACAAGTTGTTCTTAGGTGCTGTTCACGTATGACTCACAGCAACTCTGAACAACAGATCTGACCCCATCCTATCCTGTGCCATCCTCACACTTTCTAACACACTGCAGCAGTCATCATGTTAATCTAGCAGGTTGAAAGGCGTCTCCTTTGTTGACCCTTCACCCTTCCCAGAATCATGTCCCTTCTCCAAGGAATAGCCCCTCCTAGCAACATGCCCAAAGTATGTGAGGCGAAGCCTCCTCATCCTTGTCTACAAAGAGCATTTTGGCTGCACCCTCGGCAAGACATGATTGTTCTTTTGGCCATCCATGGGATGTTCAGTGTTCATCTCTAACACCATAGCCCAGAGTCATTAATTCTTCAAATAGTATCCTTGTTCTTTGTCCAGTTCTCAGATCAAAAGTGATCAGAAAGACCATAGCCTGTATCAGACATACCTTAGTCCTCAAACTGACGTCATTATTACTCAATAATTTAGAGAGGTCTCAAACTGCAGACTTTCCAAGTGCAATGCATCTCCTGATTTCCTCACTGCTGGTACCAAATGTTTTAACTGAGTCCAAGTAAGATGAAGTTGTTGACACTTTCAATCTTTGCTCCATCATGATGTTGCCTATTGGTCCAATGGTAAGAATCTTTGTTTTCTTGACATTGAAAGGCAATCTATATACAAAGCAACTTTCCGTAATCTTCTGCAACAAATGTTTCAAGTCCTCCTCATTTTCAGCAAGCAAATTTGTGTCATCTACATAGCACAGGTTACTGATGAGTCTCCTTTTGATCCTGATGTTGCATTCCTATTCAGAGAGTCCACCTTCTCAGATAATTTGTTCAGCATGCAGAATGCATAGGTATGGAAAGAGAATACAACCCTCAGTTGGCACAACAGCATCCTGGTCCAGGCTTAAGTCTTATATTACCACAATTAAGTACTCCTGGACTCCCGTTCTTCTCAATGTCAGCTATACTTGTTAAAATCCACACAGTCATATGCCTCTGCATAGTTTATAAAGCACAAACAAACCTTCTTCTGGTATTCTTTTTGTTAATCTAGAATCCATCTGACATCAGCAATGATATCCCTCATGTTACAGCTTCTTCTAAATCCTCCTTGAACTTCTAGCAGTTCTCTATCTATGTACTGTGCCAGTTGTTTTTTCAATGATCATCAGCAATATTTTGTTTCCATGTCATATTAATGATATTGATAGTTTCTGCATTGTTAGGTCACCTTTTTTGGGAGTGGGAACAAATATGGACCTCTTCCAATCAATTGGCCTCACAGCTGTCCTCCAAATTTCCTGGTAAGCTATATGTTAATTGAAACAGGTCAACTGGTATTCCATTGAATTCTGAGGGCTTATTTTTTACCAATGCCTTTAATGCAGCTTCCACTTTCTCCTTCATTATCATTGGCTCCTGCTCAAACAGTACTTTCTGCATTTTTTTTCAGTGTCAATCAGTTCTTTTTGGTACAGTGACTGTTTATTCCCTCCATCTTCTTTAGATGCTTTCTGGGTCATTCAACATATTGCCCAAAGCTTCTTTCAATATTGTGACTCAAAATTTAAATTTGTTTTTCTGTTCTCTCAGTTTGAGAAATACACAGTTCTTCCCTTTTTATTCTTCAAATCTAGCTCTCTGTACAATCCATTACAATATTTTGCTTTGTCTTCCTGAGCTGCCCTTTGAAATCTTACTTTGGATTTTTCCCCCTTTGTTTTGACTTCATGGTGCTTCAGTGCCATTTTTAGGAGACTTTTTGACATCCTTTTCTTTTTTTCCTCCTTGGTTTCTGTAATGACCTTATACTTTCATCATGGATGGTACTCTTGATATCACTGTACAACTCATCTGGTCTTTGATCATTGGTGTTTAATGCCTTAATCCTAGTCCTAACAATATCCTGAAATTCAAATGAAATTTATTCTAGATCATATTCAAAATCCCTAGCTCTGAGAGAGATGCAAATCAAGACAACCATGAGATATCATCTCACTCCAGTAAGACTAGCAAAACTTAACAGAACAACAAGCAACAAATGCTGGTGAGGTTATAGAGAGACTGGAACCCTTATTCACTGTTGGTGGGAGTGTAAAATGGTGCAACCACTGTGGAAGGCGATGTGGAGCTTTCTCAAGAAGTTGCAAATAGAGATACCCTTTGACCCAGCAATTTCACTACTGGGAATATACCCTAAAGAGACCATAAATGACATCCAAATAGATATATGCATACCCATGTTTATCGTGGCTTTGTTTACAATAGCAAGGAGTTGGAAACAACCTAAATGCCCATCAACAAACGAATGGGTAGAGAAGCTGTGGTATATTCGCACAATGGAATAC